TGGGTTGGTGTGGGGGTGTGCAGTGGGTTGGTGAGGGTGGGGAAGGTTGAGAAGGAATTTTGAAAAATACTTTCCATTTTCTTAATAAGGAAAATGAGTTCATAAGGAAAATGTTTTCCAAAACATTTAAGCCAATCAAACATGAGAAAATTGAAAAATATTTTCCTTCATATCAAACACACCCCTCGTCTAAATTTTATTCAGTTTCATTCAATGTATATTGACCGTGCAAATTTCTTTTTAAAATACCTTGTGAAACTGACTTATAAGCACCTTTTAGCTTATTTACTCATTTGATAAAAATGCAAATTATTTATAAGTTAAGTGCTTATAAAACTAACATCACCCAAAAGCCATACGTCATCACCCATACTTGTAACTTTTCGGCTTATAATCAAATTTATTAATTTGATCAAATTTTTTCAGTACTTCTCAAAATACCTTTATCAAAATTGACAATAGCAGGTTGTTGATTGAGCAGGAAAGACAGAGAGTGGACAGAACAGTTATACTAATAAATAATTAACTCTTATGATATACGGAACAAGAGAGGGCAATGTGAGGAGGCTCCAAATGTAAATAGAGAGTAGGGCGAGAAGAAACTATGCATTTATTGATGTGGTGATTAATAAGAAAATAAAATACAATCTTTAATTTTGCTTTCTTTCTATCCTTCCGTCATTTTGATACATAGTAAATTTTCTAAATTGGGTTGGAGACGTGCAATAAGTAATAACGCCATTTACTTTTGAGGGCGAAATAACCAAATGTAGAAATGTATATAGGCAAAAAAGGATTTTGAGACAAGTATTTAGAAACTGCTGCCTAGTCTCGTATATCTCCTCTTAAGTTCTAGTTGTAACATCTGCCTTCATTGCAGCTGTAATTCTTAGACAAAATCTCCTTTTTCTCAATCCTCTATATATCATTAACACATTTTTTTAGTAGTTAAGGTGACGGCTATTACATGCATTCTAGATATTGCATTGGAGGAACAATGACAAATGTTCTAACTAAAGGTAAATAATGCATTCTAGATGCCCAAGGATTTTTCATTTGGACACCTGAATTGAGGATTATACCTAGTGAACACTTGAGTACTCGAGCCAAAATGTATCTATTAGGCATGATGTGCTGAATATGTGTATAGAAAATTTATATTTGATGCTAAATCATCAATAAAAAACTGTACCAGGCAGAATATTCGACAGACAGTAAGTTTTCAACCTACGGTGACATGTATAGTTATGGAATTTTATTGTTGGAAACATTCACGGAAGAAGTCCCACAGATAAAATATTCAAGAATGGTGTAAACATTCATAATTTTGTTAAGATGGTCATACCTAAACTTAAGGCATTAGTTCGAATGAAAACTCTAATTAGACAGTGGCCTAGCTAACATAGCTATCCATCAAAAGACCTGCATCTTGTTGCAGGTTCATGAGCAGATTGAACTGAGATGAGGTAAGCTTGATTATTTAGGGAAAACGATTCATAAGCCTTCAACATGATAAGAAACTTGAGGAGGATCAGCAAAGCTGAGAGCAGGATTCAGAATTTATGGAACCGACTGGAATGTTTATTCTCGGTTGCGATTATAGTCTCTTTCCCAAAATCAGGCTACTGCAAAAGATCAATCTAGCCCAGTTATCTTCTAGTCGCTTCCTTAAATTCTAGATCCCGCTCTAAGCTTCATCGGTCCTCTCAAGTACTTTAAGGAACAAGGCCCCCTCCCTCCTATGTTGTAAAAGGAAAGTACAAATCTTTATCTTTCTGCAACACTCTTTCGACTTGATGCCGCCCCTGAATCCACCAATTAATGCCGGCTTAATTACTCCTAAGATAAGATAAGGATATATAAGAAGATTTACAAGTAATGAAGGATTTTGAGCTTACACTTGATCTAGTGTACCTTGAAAATGGAGGATTAAAGTATCGATTTGGCTTGTTTGAAGTAAGTATCTTGTCTAATCTTGTGTGGGGGATACCCCTTAGGATTTGGTTTTAATTGGTATTCGTGTTGTATAAAAAGCGACGTGTACACGAGGTGACGAGTGTATACATAGGTGTTGTTTATGGATTATGATTGGATAAGATCTTAGGCTATTAATATGCCTTAAGTCGAGGATGTATTTTATGTGAAACATGCTTAATCAATATGACTACATGAACGTATATGTTGAATATCCATCCGCATTTGTATTGTTGTCATGTCCTTGTGCACCTTATTTATAAATTGTGAGCTTATATTTGGATGAAATTTGACATTATTATTTTATGATTATTGTGGCACATATGGACATGTTGAGCGGATTATTTGGGTGTTGGCACGACATTTTTGTCGTGCGATTGTTATTTTGATTTGTGTCAGGGCGGAGCGATATAGTTAGATATTGTGATTTGTGTCAGGACGGAGCGATATGGTGGATATGTGATTTGTGTCAGGGCGGAGTGATACGGTTGGATAGTATGATTTGTGTACGGGCGGAGCAACACGGTTGGATATTGTGATTCATGTTAGGTCAGAGTGATACAGTTGAATATTATGATTTGTGCTAGGGAGGAACGATACGTTGTTGGATATTTTGATTTGTCATGACGGAGTGATAAAGGGTGGATATTGTTATTATGACATAAATGTGGGCACGAGGTGCCATATGTTTGTGTTCTATTTGATGACTTGTTGTTGAAGCTGAATCTTTACTTGCATTGAGTTGTTATCACCTGTTCTAAAGAGATTTTTGTTACTGCTTTTTGTAATACATTCTATTGTCAGTCTTTGATATATTACACAGATCATTTGACTAGTGAGTATCACATGACTTGAACCTCGTGACAATTTCATCGAGGTTAGTTTAACACTTACTGGGTACCGATCGTGATTTACTCATACTATACTTCTGCATATTTTTATGTAGATCCGTGTTGGGGCAGCGGACCTAGGCAGTGAGAGCTTACATTTACTACGAGGATTCAAGGTAGAGCTGCATTGACCGTCACAGTCCCTTGGAGTCTTATTCTTACATTGATACTATTATATTTATATCCAAACAGTATTCACTACAAAAAAACAGTGTTTAGCAACGGCCGTTTTCCGTCGCTAAATCAATGTTTTCCGTCGCTACAGTTGTTTAGCGACGGATTCAAGTCAGCCCCTAAAATGCTCGTAGCTAGGCTTATAGCGACAAAAAATACCCAACCGTCGCAACATTAGCAACGGATTAGCGACGACATATATCCGTAGCAAATGTTAGCGAGGGAAATAATCGTCACTATATTTGCTTGTTTCTGTCGCTATTTTGAACCTTTCGTCGCTGCAATACATAGTAAAATTCGTCGTTTGTGCTTATAGCGACGAAAATCATCCGTCGCTAGACATTATAGCTAATTCTCCCTGCCTTTTGCAACATAATATTTTGTCGCCAATTCGTCGCAAGATTTAATTTTACGCGATAAATTTAGCTACGGAAAGTATCCGTCGCTAATTAATTTTTAATATATTGCTAATTTTTAAAATTCTTTTTATTTATTATTTTTAAATGTACCCTGTTCTAGCATATTACATAAAAGCTATTAAATACACATAATAAAAAGTCATTGATATTAATATAAATTAACAATATATTCAACAAGGTCCAAAATATATAACATAATGCATATAACAGTCTCGTTAAGTACAAAAAATCCACAAGGACCAACAATAAAGTCCAAACAAAGTAGGCCAACTATGCGAGGCTGGAGAGTTACGGTCATCATCAGAACCCAATGCATGAACCTCATCAATGTTAGCAGCAGTAGAAGATGTAAGAACTGTAGGTGCCGCATCTAATGGGTGGTTGGTAAGATCAGTATTTGGCTGATACGAGGGTAAGGAAACTAATTCGCGTACCCGCTAAACGATTACAGGAACTATATGATCCGTTAGTGCAAGAATCAATCTCATCACTAACTCATCCAGATTCCCTGTCGGTGTTGATTGAGCATTTGGAGGTGTTGCTGACGATGCAGCATCAGATCCAAAAGAGCCATGAAGATTTGGCCCGTAGTAGCATTTTGCTTGAGATCCAAGACCATATACTCTTCTTTTCTTTTCTCCTCCCACGGCTTGATAATATGCTTTACATTGATCAATATCAGATTGAGTGTGTTTGTTGTTGTAATATCTCCTGATATTTTTCAGGTAGAAGAGTAAATAATTAATGAAATAAAAAACTAAATAATATTGAGCATTCAATTTACCAAATGAATAAAATATATGAAAGTAAAGTCAATAAAATTATTTAAAAAGTTAACTTACATGTATGATCCGGGATTTCTCAGCAACAAAAGATTTCCCATCATTACCATGTGTATGGACGTGCAAATGTAACTCACTTGGTGTTGGATCTCGACCCTTTTTAAGGGCTTATACAAAAGTTATTCAATTAAGCAGCTTCTCAATCATTCTGCCAGAATTTTCACTCTGGTGCATTCTCTTAAGTAAGAGATGTATCACAAGACCAGCACTTGGAAGGTTGTGTTTGAAAGAAAAACGGATTTGGTTTATTAAGTCAGCTTGTTCTGCAGCTGCAATTGAGCATAAATGACCAGCCGCACACCAACTTCAGCTAAAAACTACTACTTAATTTTACAAGCAATGATTTACCATTAAGTGTGTACTACATATTCAAGGTTAACATGAAGCATAGACTGATATATTCAGAAGATCACATAATCTTTAGACATTCCTTGAATAAATTCAATGCACCTACTTTTATGAAAGATCAACAGTGATGTTATACTTCAACCATGTCTCGTTTAACATAATGAATAGATAAGCAAGAATGATCCAACCAGCATTCTCTTGACTGAAAATGAACTGAAGAACAAAACCAATAATAGATAGCCGAACAAAAGCTATGAAAACTGAATAAATCATTTCGCCTTCCAATCCAAGTTTCTGTACATAAGACAAAGCTACAGCCATAAATACAACTGCAAGTGCTGCAATTGGCTTCCTCAAAGGCTTAAACACAAATAAAGAATCAACGGGGTAACTTTATACTGCTAAGATACAAACAGTAGGCATAAGAGTCATGCTGACCCTTATAAACGATCAAACAACAAAACTCAACTATTGTGAACAAATAGGATACTATAGTTCATCATCAAAGCACAGGGACCAAACCAAAGCACAACATTGACTTGGAAAACTCATATCAAACATAGGGTATTAGGATAGTACACTATAGTAGGCATGAGTCACTATTGGGACATAATCACACATGATCACAAAATGCAGGTAGTAGGCCTGCTTCATTACTCATCTCTTTAGGTTCAAAAGTGTTACAGATAAGTGTCACCCACCTAAATAATCAAACAGGTTCACTAGAAACACTTAGTACATGAGTCTGTGTATAGGTTATTACAACATCATAGCTTCACTGAACTGTTAAAATCGTTTAAACAAGGACAGATCATTAGGGTCAATCCCTTATATAGGATCATTCATTGAACTCACACCATTTCATTACCACAAAATTATTAGGACTACTACAGGTGAACGCATAGATGTAAACATCAAGATGGCTTGGTGTTAAAAAGTTAACAGTGTTCTGAAACGGAGCTTAAGGGTCTGATTTTACACAAAACTAGTTACATAAAATATTGCTAGCATAGGATTTAATTAATCATGAAGCATTAACAAAGTCTAAGAGTAAAAGTTATACACAGATTACTAGATATCCTGAGCAAGCCAGTTATCACATTTATCAGTTGAGACAGTTAAAGTAGACAGGTTAAATACAAGATATGAAAAACAGGGAATCCACTTATAAGATCAACATAATGTCACGAAGGGAAGCATAATCACGAAGGGAAGCATAATCACGAAGGAAAGTATGTTTACCAATTAATGAACAAGCTGACATAAAAAATTACTCAAAGATCATTAGACTCTGTACTTAAAAAAACTCATGTCACTGACTGCAAAAAGCACAAGTCCTATCCACTTACAAGTCTCTTGCGATGCTCCCCAACATTGATAGAGACACCTGTGTGAGTCCCAGTGGCAACTCCGCTCCCAGCACAACGATTTTTTGCATTTATTTTTGACTTTTCAACACACTTAGGATCTTTCCAAAGTCTCAACCAATTTTACCATACATTATTTGGAATAGTGTCAAGTTGCACTTGATTTGATTTCAGTTTGCTAACAAAATCACTGTATCTTTTTGCTGCCCTACACTCTCATTGGATCGCACCGCACTATCAATCGAAGAATCCCAGTAGAATACCTTCTGAAATAATTTTATAAAGTAATAACATTAATAAGTTACATATAAAAGTTAATATACTTTCTAAATCCAATTGTGATGGATTATACCTTGAATTCTCCAAAATAAAATTTTTTTATCTCATTTGAGACGCTTTTCCAGTTGACTCCATTAGGATCAAGTTCATTCTTGAAAGACTTAGTTATATACTCAGAGCATTCATATGAAGGCTCTAACCTGAAAAAATTATACCATATTATTTAAAGGCATACCATATATCAATAAAAATATACCAAAAGTAATAGTACAAGTATGGACTAACCCTGTAGGAGAAATAGTAAGAAGCTTCCGCGGCCCGCGGGTACTGCTACACTCAGTTTCGCCTATTATGTTGCTTTGAGCAGATGTACCCTCGCCTATTGTGTTGCTCTGATTAGGGGTATTTGGAGATGGTTCCAAATTAATAGTTGGGGTACTACCATGGCCTGATGTTTGGCGTACTACTAGGACCTAATGTTTGAACTTCATTGATGTGATCTGGTCCACCTGAGGAACTCGTACCACCTTGTTGAGGATTGATTATGGGAATGGGAACAGGGGGCATATTTTCACCAGTAGCAAAATTACCCCTAACTGAAGATTTACCTACACGGCCTGCGCTACCTCGACCTCTACCTCAAGGCATATCTACAAATTAGCCAGATTAGACTATATAGAATTCATCATGTTCAATAAATTCGCATGAAATGTTAAAGTTTTAGCCAGATTAGACTATATAGAATTCATAAATTCGCATGAAATGTTCAAGATTTGATTTGATTTTTCCCTCCATCTGGAAACACAATTTAAGATTAGATAAATTAGTTGGTTTGGTACCTGGAGCTGGAAGAGGGGTAGCAGAACCTGCAATTAGAAACGGAAAACAGAATTAGCCAACAAATTGTAGGACTATAGCTCACGTATTGTAGGACTATAGCTCGATATTCTACTACTGCACCGGATCTAAGACAGTATCCAGAAGTAATAGATCGTATCTGGTTTGTGTCAGAATATCTAACAATTTGTGTGTGTCCTTCGTCTTCATCTAATAGTTAAGTGGCTATTTAAGTATCAGACTCCTAATTCGTCTTGTCTACCCTCCTCCCCTAATGGGCAGAGCTTTTGTCCAGATTGTGTGTGATGATAAAGGAAAAACACTTGCTCTTTCAGTCGCTTCATTATCAAACAGAAGAAGGAAAATAAGTAAAACTTTTGCTTTCATTGTGCTAAACTAGGAAAGAACAACTAATTGTGCTAAACTAGGAAAGAACTGACCTATTCTAAAATGACGGTGATGGTTCACATCGACTAATTTGTATTGGTTATGCTCCTTGACACCAACATTCACAGTTGGATCAAACCATTCACACTTGAATAACACAGTTTGCTTTAAAGGTTCTTCACGGTATTCCAATTGTATAATCTCTTGTATTCATCCAAAATAGTCACCAACATTTGGATCCGAGATACAAACTCCACTATTAATTGTTGATCTTTTCACTACCATGACATTCCGTGTGAAATTTGTATCCGTTAACAAAATACACCGGATAACATTTTGCGCTTATTAATGGTCCATGAGCAAGACTACGCAAGAATTGGAGAAACTTGTTCACACCAGTTATGAAACTTGAATTAATACCCCCTCGGTCATCCAACCTTTTGTACATCCAATCACGCTCTAGATTGTCCATGTTCCTATTTATTTAATATAAAAATAAACAAGACCTTAGAGTTCTTTATTTAATAAGACATCAGAATGCTTTCTAGAATGAATAACAAGTTGATATCAGAAGTCAAAAATGATTAGATAACGTAACTAACTGGAGAAAATAGCTGGGGGGAATAAAAATACTGATCCAAAATTCTGAAATGCATAAGCAAATTAGAGATCTAGTCAACATGGCTCTTGATCTTCTTTTTTTTCCAGTAAATATCTCAAGTAGAAGAGAAGTTCAGGTTAAGACCAAGAAGATTATCATGATTCAAGAGGACAGAAGGCAGGCTCTTCCCAGATTACCCATACTTCAAGATGACAAATTTCTAACAGCAAAAGAGTCAACTAGGATGTAACAATTAATCCACATTTCTATTAATAGAAAGAAATGAAATACCTAATCATGAAGCATGAGGAAAGAAGGCCAATACAAATTAGACTGCATAACTCATAACACTGCCAGATTCTCCAATTAGACAAAAAGCAGATAAAAATAAACATCACATCCCACCCCTGTACACATGCACTTAACTGAGACATAATATCCATGACTAAGTATAGAAGAGTTGAACCACATAGGACTAAAGACATCCAGAAATATAGATCATTAATTAAGAACAAAACATCTACATAAGGAGTTGCACTTTGATTACAATAGAGCAGGTAATAAGCATGAGAATTGAGAATATACCAATCCAAAAGGCACCAAACTTATTGGATCTCACACACACACTAAAGTTCTCCTTTATCCTTTTTGTAGTTTCTTAGCTTGTATTTGTACCAAAAGCTGAGATTTTGAGAGAATTATCCATTTGAAAGCAACTGAATCATAATTTTAAGACAAAAACCAAATAAATAAAGAAAACTAACAAATATCTTAAACCGCGATATGTAAATGTTATTCATATACACGTAGCAAGAAAATGCAGACTCAGTACAATTTAATTATTCTGGATTACCAATCAAACGCTATTAATAGAAGTTACCAAAATTGAGCCTGCCTTGTGGATCCAAAACGGAGCAACACCAAGATCTGAAAATTCAATAGCACACTATCCAAAAGAACATAGCCTGTAGCCGATAGCCACCAACACCACAGCTACAGTAACAATAACAAATTACATTCAATGAAAGCAAGAATAGAGAAAAAATTACCAAAATTGAACAAAATAAAGCGCACACCACAGACAACTTGGAACTAAAATTGAGAAATTTGAAAGAAAAAAAAAACCTCAATTACAGATGCATGGGGCGCACAACATTTACCAACCAAGTACGAAGAAGACATTTAAACAAATACTTCAATAATAATAAACCTCGGAAGCCCCAAAAAAAAACACCACCGAGATCCATAAAAACCAACTTTGAAGGAGAAGGTACAGTACAAATACTTTTGATTAAAGGATAAATAAAAAGGAGCAGCGAAATGGGTACCAAAGCGACGATTAACTCACACAACTTAGAGCAGGTTGAGGGACTTGCTTTGGTGATTCAAAATAATCAAGCATTGGTCTTACAACTGCAGGAAGGAAAAGCCCTGAAAGTTGACAATACAAGAAATGTAAGACCAGATTGAAGAATTTCAGAGTTCCGAAGCAAAAATCTTGCAATTTCGAAAAAAAATTTCTATTTTTCAGACATTAACCCTAGATTCACGCCTAATTTTTTGTATTTAAAGTAAAAAACTCACATTGTTGAAGAGTATTGAGAGTGAGAGTCTGTGATAGATAGGAGAGACGGTGGACGTAGCGACGGAATTTGCGACGGATGGAATTTTTGTTGCTACTAATATCAAATGAAATTTTATTTAAAAAAAAAAAACTAGCGACCGAACATTTTGTCGCAATCAACTTTGGAATGTCTTGATAAGTAAAAGGACTTCAGCGACGGATATTTTGACGTTAAATCCGTCGCTAGGTCTTAATAATTTTTGTCGGCCCCCTTTCATCGCTAATTTTGTAGGTAAAATAAAGGTGCTAACATTTAGTGCCAATTTTAGCTACAAATATTAGTGTTTGTCGCTATTCCGTCACTATATTCTATACGAATTCATTTTGTAACTTATTTGGCGACAAATTACAAAAAGCGTCGCTAATCCGTCGTTATGTAGCTACGGAGTATCTCTTGTCGCTAAATTCCGTCGCTAAATGCTGTTTTTTTTGTAGTAATTGTATTTTGAGATATCCTTATGCATTCAGTTAGAGCTCGTAACTTTATACTACCTAGTTATAGGGAGGTGTTTGAGTATTGCCACTCTGGCTTGTATTGATTTTATTCCTGTTTTTATATTAAATTCTCTTTTATTATATCATGTCTTGTTGATTAAAATGTTGTTAAGTGATCGACTTACCTAATTTTAGAGACTAGGTATCATTACGACCCCTATGGTGGGATTTGGAGTGTGGCACAGAAGCAAACATGGACATTTCCCATGTCCTTAATGAACTGCACTTAATCAGAGTTTCAATTTTTGGTTTTAAATTTTTTCTTATTTCTCTTGTAGACTTTTCTTTTATCTGTTTGATTGTTTGAGAAGGCTCCCAAAATGCTAGTCCAACCTATCTTCAATCGATTTGTGGGTTAGTCCATGCCTCCATTGCTGCAATTTTGCTTGCTTGGATTACCAACCACACAACAATAAAGTTTTTGCGCCATTCTAAATTTTATAGATATTTGTTTCAAATATCAAAATTTTAAGGTCTCTATAATGAAATTCGAACTATATAAAAGAAGTAAATAACACACCTACTGTAATTGGAAATTCACCAAACACATACCCTTCCATTTCACTTTGTTTCACACTATTTTCTCATTAGTTCATTAAAAAAAATATATTTCTATATTTAGAAATAATTTAACTTTAACTTCTCGTAAAAACGATATTTTCAAAAATCTTATGTTATGCTTCAAGTTTTAAGAAATCTTTCTTTCTTTTTAAATTTCGTATACCGGATCAAAATAAAAAAAAATGTAGTAATAAACAACTGTGCCAAATTAATTGGCAACATATATATTGCCAATTTATAAAAGTTGATAAGTTTTCAAATTTAAGAGTTGTCTTGATGAGATGGATGTGGGTGTGAAAAGCGTAAAATATGAAAAAACGGNTGTTATTGTAACGACTCGATCGGTCATTTTGAGCTTTAGCATTCCGTTCGGTGGTTAAGATGAGCAACTTCTGCATTATGACTTGTGTGTATGGTCGGTTTTGGTTTTCGGATGATTCAAGATTGATTTGGAGGAATGATTCTTATTTTATAAGCTTAGGTGGTAAGAGTTGACCGGAATTTGACTTTTGTGTAGATGACTTTGGAATGATATTTTAATGATTCCAATAGCTTCCTATGGTGATTTTGGACTTTGGCGCATATCCGGATTTGGATTTGGAGGTTTGTAGGTTGATTTGATGCTTTTTAGCAAAAGTTGGAAAGTTTAAGGTTTAGAAGATTGAGAGGTTTGACCGACAGTTGACTTTATTGATATCGGGTTTGGATTTTGGTTTGGGGAGTTGGAATAGGTCTGTTGTATCATTTGGGACTTGCATGCAAATTTTGAGGTTGTTTAGAGTTGATTTGATATGGTTCGACATGAGTTGTAGAAGTTGAAAATTCATTAATTCATTAGGCTTGAATTGAGGTGTAATTTGTTTTGATGTTGTTTGGTGTAATTTGAGGCCTCGAGGAGGTTCACGTTATATTTTAGGATTGATTACTGTGATTGGATGGGTCCCGGGGGCCTGGGGTGTGTTTCAGATGAGTCTCAAATCATTTCCATGTTATTAGGCAGGTCTAATTCTTGTGTTTCGCATCTGCGCATGTTGGAACGCATATGCGGATTCGCTTCTGCGAGATCGAGTTGCTTCTGGGATGTTGTGGCTTGGGCAGGTATTTCGCTTCTGTGGGTGAAGGATCGTAGGTGCGATGGTCACGTCTGTGGTATATGGATCGCAAATGCGGGAAGGAATCTTGAGTTGAGAGGCTGCTTTTGCGGTTATATTGGCGCTTCTGCGGTGTCGCAGGTGCGGTTCTTGGTCTGGTAAGTTGAGCTGCAAATGCGGCATTTTTTCTTGCAGATGCGCTGTTGTCTACAAATACGGAAATCTCTGGGCAGATTTCACATATATTGAGGGTTTAGTTATTTAATCACATTTTGATTTAGAGAACTCGATTTTGGGCAATTTTGGCGGGATTTCACGATTTGAATTGGAGTAAGCATTTTTGACTCGAGTTTGATTATATTTCATGAATCCATCTTTGTTTTTATTATTTAATTCATGATTTGAATAGAAAAAATTGAGAATTTTAGTAAAAACTTTTCTAAAAAATAAGAATATGATTTGAAGGACGATTTGAGGTCGGAATTGGACAATTTTGGTATTGTTAGAATCGTATCGGAATGGGTGTTCGGATTTTGTGAGTTTTGTTGGATTTTGAGATGCAGGCCCAGGGTTGACTTTTTTGTTTGACTTTTAGTTTTCATTAAAGATCGAAGCTTTATTATCCGAAATTATTTTCTATGGCTTTTATTTATGATATTAAGATATTTTGGCTATATTTGAGTCGTTAAGCGGTTGTTTCACACATGAAGGGCTTTTTAGTATATTGATTTAGCTTCTTTGATATAAGTATCTTATCTAACTTTGTGTGAAAAAATTACCCCGTAGGATTTGGTTTAATTGCACTATTTGGATTGTGAAAGACGTGTACATGAGATGGAGAGTGTGTACACGGCCTTATATGTGAAAATTGACCAGATTAGACTCTTAGGCTTCTTATATGCATTTAATTAAATTTTTCATTACATATTCTATATTCCATTGTCGAGTTTCTTTTTATATGTTTTAATTTAATTTGTCATTTTATGTTCTATATTCTATTGTCAAGTTTATTCTTACATGCTTTAATTGAAGTTGTTAGAAAATGTTGTATCTTTCAATGTCAATGTGATGACCCGGCCGTTCATCTTAAGAATTAATGCCCCGATCCCCTATTAACTGCTTTTCCCAAGTTTATTTCTGCTATTTTGATTTGTCGGGATGTTCGGTTTTGAGTTTCGGAGAGTTTTGGGACACTTAGTCCCTAAATGAGAGCTTAAGTGTTGGAAAGTTGACCGTAGTCGGAGCAATGTGAAGACAGCCTCGAAATAGAAATCTGATGGTTCCGTTAGCTTCATTGGGCAATTTCGGGTTTAGGAGCGTGATCGGATTGTGTTTTGGAGGTCCGTAGCTAATTTAGGCTTGAAATACCGAAAGTTGAATTTTTGGAGTTTCCGGTCCGATAGTGAGATTTTGATCCGAGGGTCGGAATAGAATTTCGGAAGTTGAAATAGGTCTGTAGTGTTGAATGTGACGTGTGTGCAAAATTTCAGGTCATTCGAACGAGGTTTAATATACTTTTTGATCGAAAAGCGTATTTCTAGAGTTTTGGAATTCTTAGGCTTGAATCCGAGGTTAAATTGGTGTTTTGGTGTTGTTTTGAGCATTCTAAAGGTTGGAACAAGTTTGAATGATGTTTTGGGATTGGTTGGCATATTTGGTTGTGGTCCCGAGGGCCTCGGGTGAGTTTCGGGTGCTTAACGGAAGTTGAATTTGGACTTAGGAAGATTTTTGCATTGCTGGTATCTATCATAACCGCACCTGCGGTTTAGGTCCCGCAGGTGCGGAGCCGCAGAAGCGTTATTTCAACCGCAGAAGCGGAATTGGGGAAGTCCAGCAGGAGCCGCAGATGCGGTGGAGCCATCACAGAAGCGGAGCTGGGAAGGAGCTACAGGTTCCGCAGATGCGGAAGTAATATCGCAGAAGCCGCATCTGCGAAAATGGAATCGCAGGTGCGGAGTCAGCCTCTAAGTGAAAGTCGTAGGTGCAACCTTTTGTCCGCAAAAGCGGGACCGCAGATGCAGTCAGTGGACCGTAGATGCGTAAACAGCTGGGCAGAATATAAAAATTTCAAAACGAGGGTTTAGCCATTTTTGAGAAAACTTAAGCTTGGGAGCTCAGATTTGAGCGAGATTTTGAGGGATTTTCAGAGCTATCGATTGGGTAATGATTCCTAACTCCTTTTTACTTGTAATCCATTAATCTAAACATGAATTCATCCTTTAATTTCGGGAATTTGTATGAAAATTGGGGAAAGGTTCTTAGGTCAAGAATTTGAGTTTCGATGGGGGATTTGACATTGGATTGAAATAATTTTGATATGGTTAGACTCGTGAGGATGTGAGAATTTTGAAAATGTGAATTTTACCCGATTCCGAGATGTGGGCTCGAGGGGTATTTTGGTCATTTCACATAATTTCGCATACTAACTTAGACTTTAATTGTAGAATCAGTTACTTGAAGTGTTATTTACATTATGAAATTGAATTGAATAGATTTAGGCCATTTGGAGTCGAGTACTCGTGGCAAGAGCGTGGTTTCGGATTGATTTTTGAGCCGGTTCGAGGTAAGTGGCTTATCTAACCTTATGTGGGGGATCTTCCCCTTAGGATATAATATAATTGATAATTGAAATGCCTTGTACGTGAGGTGAAGAGCGCGTACTTGAGCTAATTGTTGAAAATCCGATTTTTCCTTAAGTATTTCAATTGAGTTTTTTTTCCCGTTTTATTCTACTTATGAATTTAGCCTGTTGCCAGTTTAGAAAAAGCATGTTAGTTGACTTAATTGCCTATTTGCTTAAACTGCCTTAATTACATTACGTGAAGCATGTTAGGCTAGAATTAACTGTTTACTTGGTACGAAATTTAGCTTAATTGGATATTCTTGTGTTGTTGCTGTGTGTTTTTACTTTGGGACTACCGG